CCCGGCCCCTGGGCGCCCCACTATGCGGGCCAGGGGCTTTTTGACAGCATTTTACTTTTTGCCACCCGGCCTGGCTCGAAGAAAAATTTTGTCTTGTCTTAAAAGAGAGATAGTCGGTCCACAAAAAATTTAGGGCCCAATAGTGGGCCTTGGACTGACCCGTTTAGTCCGGCTCAAACTTATAGCTCTATATGAAACTTGTTGTGGGGTAGAACACCGAATCTTAAATAAATGTTGGATGGGGCCCACATGCCTTAAATGAGAAGACTAAATGATCAAGGATAGCTTAGCCCTAGGCGTCACGTCAGCAGGCAACCCTCTTAGGGGTCGATAGCCAAACGTAAGCATGAGATCAACCGTACCCGCAATTGAAGGAGAAGATGCTTTTGTGAACATTTATGAAGTTCAGGCTACGCAAGAGATGAGATATGCGAGATTTGTCCCAAGATTTGTTATTTGTAATTCAAATATATGAATTTTAATTAAGAAAATCGTCTTGATTGATTATAATCTCTATCTTTTGGGAAACTATCTCAAAAGATGAGGAAAATATCCCAAATTGAAATAAAGAAATGGATATAGGCGGTGACTATGAGTATAAATAAGGGGTTATAAGTCAGAAAGTCCCTAAGTCTCATTTTAGGTATTAGTGCGTGTAGTTTTTTTCAAAGTAGTGAATTTTCTCTCCTCCTCACAGTGAATGTAGCTCTCAAATCGAGAGTAAACCACTATAATTCTCGTGTGTTCTTATTATTTAATTATATTTAATTACATTTTGATTCATTTAATTCACGTTAACTTTAAAAAAATTCGTTATTATTTTGTTGGTGAATTTTCACCGTCAATAAAACTATTTCAAGACTCTCCCCTTTTTTTTTTAATTGGTTTCATCCGTATCTATTAACAAACTATACTTGAAACGGCTGAAATTATATGAAACTATTGCGGAGACTTCTTTTTCTTTTGATCCAAGATCAGAAAAAGGCCACTTTAAACCAAAATGGGCGATTAAGTAGAAATTGAAGTTGTACATCTGAAAGGGGCCAATTGACGGCGATGTAATCTGATGTGAATCCTTATTTTCCTGATAAGAACCTACACACCACGGTCTAGAGGCTAGTTCTCATCTATGTTTCTACTTTGGGGACAAAATTTCTATGCTTTAGAAATTAGAATCAAGTCTACATGAAATAATTTGAAGTAAAATTGGACATATAGTTAGGTCATATTCCTCCTACCTTTTAATATTTATATGTCCCACCAATTTGAAAAAACAAAATTCGCTGGGACACAAACAAAATACAAAGAGGACTATATACTGAGTAGGAGTGCCGCCATTCATAATAGAAGGAATCCTTTGACATCGTCTCCTTTTATATTTAAGTTGTGGTGGAAGGTTTTTTCTTCTTTTTTCTTTTCTGTTTTTTTCCAAAAATTTATTGGTCTCTTTCCAAAGATGAAAGCTTACAACTTTATATAAGAATTCAATCGTACCCGTTATAAAAAATAGTATATTCATCAAAATATGGTGCCACTTGTTGCATTAATTCCTAAAAATCGTGTATTAATTTTAGAATACAAAACATAAATAAAAATGTAAATATTTGACCCATCCCGGCCCCTGGGCGCCCCACTATGCGGGCCAGGGGCTTTTTGACAGCATTTTACTTTTTGCCACCCGGCCTGGCTCGAAGAAAAATTTTGTCTTGTCTTAAAAGAGAGATAGTCGGTCCACAAAAAATTTAGGGCCCAATAGTGGGCCTTGGACTGACCCGTTTAGTCCGGCTCAAACTTATAGCTCTATATGAAACTTGTTGTGGGGTAGAACACCGAATCTTAAATAAATGTTGGATGGGGCCCACATGCCTTAAATGAGAAGACTAAATGATCAAGGATAGCTTAGCCCTAGGCGTCACGTCAGCAGGCAACCCTCTTAGGGGTCGATAGCCAAACGTAAGCATGAGATCAACCGTACCCGCAATTGAAGGAGAAGATGCTTTTGTGAACATTTATGAAGTTCAGGCTACGCAAGAGATGAGATATGCGAGATTTGTCCCAAGATTTGTTATTTGTAATTCAAATATATGAATTTTAATTAAGAAAATCGTCTTGATTGATTATAATCTCTATCTTTTGGGAAACTATCTCAAAAGATGAGGAAAATATCCCAAATTGAAATAAAGAAATGGATATAGGCGGTGACTATGAGTATAAATAAGGGGTTATAAGTCAGAAAGTCCCTAAGTCTCATTTTAGGTATTAGTGCGTGTAGTTTTTTTCAAAGTAGTGAATTTTCTCTCCTCATCACAGTGAATGTAGCTCTCAAATCGAGAGTAAACCACTATAATTCTCGTGTGTTCTTATTATTTAATTATATTTAATTACATTTTAGTTCATTTAATTCACGTTAACTTTAAAAAAATTCGTTATTATTTTGTTGGTGAATTTTCACCGTCAATAAAACTATTTCAAGACTCTCCCCTTTTTTTTTTAATTGGTTTCATCCGTATCTATTAACAAACTATACTTGAAACGGCTGAAATTATATGAAACTATTGCGGAGACTTCTTTTTCTTTTGATCCAAGATCAGAAAAAGGCCACTTTAAACCAAAATGGGCGATTAAGTAGAAATTGAAGTTGTACATCTGAAAGGGGCCAATTGACGGCGATGTAATCTGATGTGAATCCTTATTTTCCTGATAAGAACCTACACACCACGGTCTAGAGGCTAGTTCTCATCTATGTTTCTACTTTGGGGACAAAATTTCTATGCTTTAGAAATTAGAATCAAGTCTACATGAAATAATTTGAAGTAAAATTGGACATATAGTTAGGTCATATTCCTCCTACCTTTTAATATTTATATGTCCCACCAATTTGAAAAAACAAAATTCGCTGGGACACAAACAAAATACAAAGAGGACTATATACTGAGTAGGAGTGCCGCCATTCATAATAGAAGGAATCCTTTGACATCCTCTCCTTTTATATTTAAGTTGTGGTGGAAGGTTTTTTCTTCTTTTTTCTTTTCTGTTTTTTTCCAAAAATTTATTGGTCTTTTTCCAAAGATGAAAGCTTACAACTTTATATAAGAATTCAATCGTACCCGTTTCCATCTTATCCTAACCCTACAATGTCTGAATGGTACAGGTAATATTAAACAATAAGACACCCACCAATATGATAACTTTATATATACATGTTATGTAGTGTTTGCCAACTTGACGGTTAGCTCGCCAATGCCATTATAAGCTTTCAACTTTTTTTCCCCCAAAAGCTCAGAGGGCCAAAATTTTATTTTGCCTAGCGACTGGACAATTTTTTTTTTTTTTTTTTTTTTTTTTTTTTTTTTTTTTTTGAAAAAGAATATTAAAATAACCCTTTATCTGATAAGTTTTTTTTTTTTTTTTTTTTTTTTTTTTTTTTTAACTTTTCAAAAGGTCAATAACAAATTCCATACTAATCATAAAGTCAATAACTAATTCCATGCTTATCGTAAAGGATCATATTTGTGTTATTGATATTTACAAAGAGAATACTACTCATTAATAAACCGAAGCCATGACTTTAATTGAAAAGAAAAGAAAAAATAAATCCCGAATTTTCGAGAAATTAGTTCCTAGTCCTCAACGAGCCATTTTTGCTTGGCCTCTCTCTGTAATCATGATAACAAATTTTTTATTTTTATTTTTGGAGGAAATAATCATGATAAGAATTGATAAAAAGGATAAAGGAGAAGAAAGTAGAATACGACTGTTCGTGAAAGGAAGGCGCAAGTCTAGTGCTAACGCAAGGTGTAGTGGGTTAGAGGGGGCCAGCAACTCGCATGCTCTCTCAATTGCATTACTCTCTCATCATTATGGCAACCTCACTGCTTTACTTAATCTTATTTTCTCCATCCCTTCTTTTCAAAACTTTCGGTCTGCTTTTCAACTCTCTTTTCCATTTTTCTAATTAATGAAAGGATTAAAATTTTAATTTTTTATTTCCTCCTGCTTAATCAATAATCTATTATTATTAAACTCCCTCTTTGTTAAAGCTAAAGGATATGAGCTCTTAATCCTCATGGGTAGTCTATGTTAGTTCTAAATTATTGGATCATTTTGGCTATTTCCTCCACTTCTATTACAGTGCTCGGCATTGGTTAGAACTTGTAGGATTCTCTTTCTAAAGCCTTCAACTTGAAGCTTGCTTTTAATTTGGAAATTATATTTGTAAGAGAGAGAAAGAGAAAAATATATTCGGTTTCTTTTTTTTTTTTTCCTTTGAAAGGAGTTTATTTTATTTTATTTTATTTTATTTTATTTTAAGATACTACAATTACCAAGTTATTCATTCAAAGAAACCAGCAAAAAAAAAAAAGAAGAAGAAGAAAGAAAGAAATAGGCAACGGACGTGAAGAATCTATTTGGCACATATATTTGAACTTATAATTTTAATACAATATTTTTCATCTTATAAAGAATTTAAATTTAAAAATTTCTTCTCTTATAAAGTCTTCATTAATAAATTAAAATCACAAACTCAAACGCATAAACTAAACAGACGCTAAATCTATAACTAATAACTAAAGAAAGTATAGTTAAATGTGGGATCCATAGGAGGGGGGCTTGGTAGTTGTTAGTGGGCACTAGGCACTAGCCAAAGGACATTACAAATATAAGTATGTAACTAGAAGGGGCTCACAAGTTGACGTTATGATTGGATCATGAAACACAGCTCGTGGGCTTCTAAGCTTTCCCAGTCATCTTTCCTCATATTTTTTATTCTTTTAAGCATGTCTGCGTGAGTATTAATAATACTTGAAAAAAAGAAAACTCAAAAAGTGGAGGTCTAACTGGCTAAGAAAGGAGCTCTCTTGTGACCATACCACAATACCATACAGCAGCAAAAAAGGAGTGTTTAAAAATGAAACAAACAGATGGTAAAGCCTAAAGAGAAAGCACATAAAATAAAAGGCATTAAAAAAAAAAAAAAGGAAAGCAGAGGAAAGCTGTCAAAGTGCCAATTTGCTTTCTTTTAAAAACCATTGTCCAAAATACACACAACCCAGAAACACAATATATAAAAACAAAAACAGAAACACACAAGGCAAATCAATTACTCAAACTTGGGAAAGAAAATTGTAGGAAGATTTTCTTGATCATGAAGATGAAGGGAAGAGAAGCGAAAGGACCTCCAGCAGCAGATCTGTTGGTCTGCTTTCCATCTCGAGCCCATCTTAGCCTTATGCCCAAGCCCATTTGCAGCCCGGCAAGGTCATCGGAGCACAGCAAGCGCCATCACCATCTCCACCACCACCTGAAGAAATCAAGCACCAGAAGAGGCAGCACGGGGCAAGCCAGCCCAATGTTATGGGCCAAGACGAAGCCCATGGGCTCGGAGCTGGTCTCCGAGCCCACGTCCCCGAAGGTGACCTGCGCCGGGCAGATCAAGGTCCGGCACAATACGAGCTCGTGCAAGAGCTGGCAGTCGGTGATGGAGGAGATCGAGAGGATGCACAATAACAAAAAGCAGAGGAAGAAACCCCACTGGGCCGAGGCGTTAGGGTTCAAGAAAGAGGTTATGCAGTTTCTCACGTGTCTTCGGAGCATCCGCTTCGATTTCCGGTGCTTCGGGTCGTTCCACCACGGAAACGACATCACCACTGACGACGACGAGGAGGAATTGGAAGAGGACGAGGACCGGTCGAGGGAAACGACGGCTGCCGATGGAGTCGAAGGTTCCAGAACCGTATTCTCCAAGTGGTTTATGGTTTTGCAGGAGGAGCAGAATCATTGTGATCGTAATAAGAGAGATCAGAGAGTGATCAATGGGTCTGATCAAGAAGGCATCTCCGCTGTTGGTGATGGTGGTGGGCCCGCCGTTCCGCCGCCGAATGCTTTGCTGCTGATGCGGTGTCGGTCTGCGCCTGCGAAGAGTTGGTTGGAAGAGAAAAAGGAAGAAGAAGAGGAAGATAATGAAGAGAAGGATGAAGATGAAGAAGAAGAAAGAGAAGACGAAGCAGAAGAGAAAAAGAGTAAGAGGAGTTTGAAGTGTTTGATGGAGGACGAGAAGAGGAAGATGAACGAGAGTTTGGTCGTTATGAGATACGACCGTGATTTCTACAAGATTTCTTCTGACATCGCAAACGAGACTTGGGTTGTTGGTGGAATCAGAGATCCATTGTCCAGGAGTCGAAGTTGGAAGAGATGATCATCATCGACATTTACTTTCCTTTCCACTTTCGTTTTCATTTACTCTTTTTTTTTTTCCTGGTTTGTCGTTGAAGCTCTTTTTATTTTTCGGCAAAGAGTGATCATGTGTGGGAGTTTAAGAAAATCCCAATATTCTCCAAGTAAAAAGTACTGTCTGTATTAGATATGAATCTGTACAGCTTTTCTTTCCTGTTCCTGGAAAAGATTTTGCTGCCGTGTACAGTTTTCGTGATACATAGAATGGATTTTTGTATTTCATATTTGGAGAATCTTTTTTTTTTTCTCTCTTGAAAATCCTAAATTGTTTGCTAATGTGATGTTTGTTGCGATAATGATCGGTGATTAGATTCCAAACACGGTTGATGACTAAAATATATTGTTATAAGCTGCAACGTGTAAGTAATATTAATGTTATCTCAGTGGCCTTGTCTACCTGTTCAGTTGCCTTTAGTGAGTTGTTCCTCCACTTGCTGCCTTTTTTTTCCGAATTTTTACCTAAATAATAGTTACTACTTACGAGTCCCTTATTTATTCACCTTTTCATTTTTCACTACTATTGATATTACAAAGCCGTTTGCAAGCAAAAAAATAGAATAGAAAGAAGATCGATCGTATCAATCGCAGTTAAACTCACCAATTATATGGGTTAACCTTTTTAGATCATATATGTGGCGTTTTACCATTAAACTATGACGTCACTATTTTTTTAATGATTTGAAAGACGAGTTTTTAACAGTCCGTGCCCCTGAAGAAACCCGAAATAAAAAAGAAAAAAGAGAAATTGGGCCATGTTTCCCGGGGGGAGGCCGCCTTCTCTCAGGCCAACAGTTGACTAGAAGTAGAAGACTACTCTATGACGGGCTTCCCTGTTTCTTGGGCTCTACTCGCTCGTCTACACTCCGACCCAACAAGTAATAATTGGAAAACGATAACTCTTTAATAGGTGATAATTTGATTTTTTTTTTTTTTTAACAAAACAACCCTGATTGTCTAATTAGGTGCAATTTTGATCTTTCTATTTGTATCTGTCAAAACCCTCACGGAAAATCACATATGAACTATCACGTGACCATCTGACGCTGGGCATAAACGTAAATTTACAATTGGTTGTGAATTTGGGAATAAATCAAGTAAAGTTTGGGCTTGTTCTAGGGTTCTTGAAGAGGGTTTTTATTTTTTATTTTTTTTGTTGCTGCAAAATTCGGGAGAAATGATGGCAGAAGAAATTTCTTTGTGCAAATGCAAGAAGCGGAAGCCTTGCAAGATTTTCACGGCGTGGACGGATTTGAATCCCGGCTGCCGATTTTATAGATGCGGACTCTTTAGAGTAAGTCTGGGTTTTGATTTTTTTAGATTTTAATCGTCTAAAATTTGAAATTAATTTCTTTTCTTCTCTTGCTCAGCGTGAAGGATGTACTCCTTGTGCTTTTTTTACATGGAAAAACCTAGCAATGTGATCAAGATTAAAAATGATAATACATGGGTTGCTGGGAAGAGTGACTGATTTGGAGGCTCAAATTGAGGTACATGGATTGCCTAACCCCTCTAGGATGAGGCTCTTCCATCTTCCACAGCACAGATTGTCACTGCTGAAGCATAAATGCTCCCTCCGATTGGATTTCTCATTCAAGAACAACAATCTCTAAGGCTTCTCCTAATTTCAAAGCTCTTTTTTCCATAAATTTTTGCCCTAACTCAACCTAAAGCAGAAAAATCAGTTTCTTAGGCATGTTCTTTTGTCTAAAAAACTCAAAAAAAAGACAACTCAAGTTTCAACTTTATTCAAGTTCACGTTTTTTTAAGTTTCAATTTTATTCAATTTTAATCAACTTTATTTAAGTTCTAACTTCAACTCAAGTTATAATTCAAATTTAACTAAAAAACTATACTCAAGTTACACTCTAAAACAACAACTCCTAAAGTTTTTTATTCTCACCCATTTGCATTTTAGGGTTGCTTTCGTCTTTTCGGCATATCAGATGGTCATGTGATAGCTCACGTGTGATTTTCCGTGAGAGTGATAGATACAAACAAAAAGGTCAAAATTGTACCTAATTTGTGAGTTCAGGGGTGTTTTGTCAAAAATAAAAAAAGAAAAGAAATTAAATTATCATATATTAAAGAGTTTAAGGAGCATTTCTGCCAAAAAAATCTTTGGAACATATTGATCTATCTTTGTAGAAGGGAATCAGAAGTAGAGGGATTAGCTTGTAAAGAAAGAGGGGTGGTGGGGGGAAGGACAGTGAAGTGTTTGACAGAGGAAATAATTGAAAAAAAAAAAATCAAAAGTGGAGGCAACTCTTCATTTAAAAAAAATAAAATAAAAAAAATAAACTTCCTTTGAGATTTATAAAAAATGTGATGAACAAAAGAGAATCTTGAAATTATATGCATTCATTTGTTAATACTCTTAAGTGTATCTTTGATGATACCCTTTAAAAGAATTGATGATATGAGGAGAGTGCAATAATAAATGAAAATTGTGCGTCTTGGTCCTTCTCGTATTCCTTTTATTTTCTCACACAACGGCAAGAGAAATTAGAGTTTAGCAGTTCGTCACGTTGTCTAATATTCTCTTTGATACTTTGGCATAAGAAGACAAATTATAGCTCTTCAACAATACTTTGTAAATGGGAGGGAAGCCTAGAATAAGATAATGTAAAGGAACCAATATTGAAATCCAAATCTTGGGGTACAAAGAAATACAATTATTGAAAGCAAAATCTTATAATCTGGCTTGTTTTGTCCACATGCACTTGAAGAGTTCGGTGAATGAGGAGGATGATGGTCCCTTTTTTTTTTTTTTTGGGTTAAATTAGTGTGTTAATGTTAAATTTTAGTGTTTGATTAGGATGATCGCTGTTAGTTAAATTTAACATTTGTTATACTAGATGACAAACTTAACACCAAATAGAGTATATGATAAATTTGGATATCTAATCGTTATTAGTTGATGGATCCACTTTTCATTTAATCGTTATACAACAACATTGCAAAATTTAAATTATTTTAATCTTAAAAAATATAAATATTTAGGGCTCATTTGAAAGATATACTCAAATTATGATTTTAGTTTATTGGCGGAGAATTTTATAAGAGAAGAAATTTTAGAATTCAAACTCTTAGAGTGTTGCAACTTCGGGCGGCGGGCAACCTGGTGCCCGAAAATTTTTGGGCACGGCGGACAGGTGCCTTTTGCCGCCCGTCCATGGTATTTTTCGGGCACGGGCTCGGACAGCCAGAAAATATTCATTCCCCCGACTGCCTGCCGCCGTGGAGAAGTCGTCCCCCCACCATCTGCCGGATTTTTTTTGAATTTTCCGGCATTACCCAATTTGCTCGAAGTTGCCCGAATTTTTTTGACCGTTGCCCGAATTTTTTTTACTGTTGCCCGTTGCCTGAAAAATGCCTAAATTTTTTTGACTGTTGACCCGAAATTCGCCCAAATGTTGAACCCAACGGATCTTTTTGCCCGAACCCGACCTGCCGCCCGATTTTTGCCCGAAAATTCGAACCCAACAGCTATATTTTTGACTGTTGCCCGACCTGCTCGAATTCTGCCCAAACTGCCCGAAAATGTTAGTAGCCGTTGGACCTGAATTTTTTGGGGAAAATTTTTTTTTTTCAAGCCAACAATTTTCCTATTAATACCCCCCTCCCCCTAACCATTTTTCTCGCCCAAAAACTCTCATTCTCTCTCAATTTCTCTCAATTTATCTTAATATCTCTCAAATCTCGCTTAAATCTCTCTCGATCTCTCTTAATCTCTCTCAATCTCTCTTATTTTTCATAATGACTTCTTCTGGTTATGGTAGTGATATTCCCATTGATGCCCAATTTAACTTCGAAGAAAGACAATTTCCTAATGTTTTTCAAACGCAGGAATCGCAAACTAC